GTGACAAAGGTTGGAGATTGGCTGCCAGAGCAGGTCCAACTATGTTTACAATTCGTTTTTGCACCTTGTCTAAAAGAGAAAGAGCATCATTAGAAGATCCGCCCCAGATGTGGCAACAGTATTCCATACAGGGACGGATTTGAGATTTATAGAGATAGAGAATAGAATCTGGAGTAAGAAAGTGTCGAGCTCAATAAAGAGATGCAACCTTAGCAGATGCTAATTTTGCAATGGATTTGATATACGGTTTAAAAGAAAGATCAGAAGTAAGAGTTAATCCTAGAAGATGAATGGTAGATGACTCATCTAGTACATTACCATTCATAAATATAGGAAGATCTAAATTATTACGATAACGATTGGCCGAATAAAATTGAGTTTTATCTGAATTAAAGTTCACCAGCCACTGTGAGCCCCATGCTGTAGCAGAAGTGAGATCCTTTTCAAGCTCAGATACCCCCTCCAAGCAATCAGAGAGTGTAGGCTTCTTATCATGACAAGAGTAAATGGTAGTGTCGTCGGCGAATAATGCCACCTTAGATGTGAGAATATCTGGAAGATCGTTAATGTAAATTAAAAAGAGTATAGGGTCAAGGATTGAACCTTGAGGAACCCCTGAAGTTACAGGATGTGAAGAAGAGTGTTGTCCATCGAGGACAACTTTTATACTACGATTGGAAAGAAAGGACTCAATAATCTTAAAGACGTTTCCAGCTACACCATAAGAAGAAAGCTTATGGAGAAGACCAGCATGCCAAACTTTATCAAAAGCTTTAGAAATGTCAAGTGCGATAGCCTTAACCTCTCCACCTCTATCTAATGCACGGTAAAACCTATCGGTTATTACTGTTAGCACATCAGCTGTAGAACGAGAAGACCGAAATCCATATTGATGATCAGAAAGTAAGTTATTTGATTCAAGATGAGAGATTAAGTGTTTGTTGATTAAAGATTCAAAAACCTTGCTTATGACAGGAAGAAGACTAATGGGACGGTAGTTAGATGAATCAGATATATATATATATATATATATATATATATATATATATATATATATATATATATATATGCTTATATATATATATATATATATATATATATATATGCTTATATATATATATATATATATATATATATATATATATATATATATATATATATATATATATATGCTTATGACAGGAAGAAGACTAATGGGACGGTAGTTAGATGAATCAGATATATATATATATATATATATATATATATATATATATATATATATATATATATATATATATGTGTGTGTATATATATATATATATATATATATATATATATATATATATATATATATATATATATATATATATATATTTCGAACATCGCATTAGCAATAAATTTGTAAAAATTTAAATAAAAATCACAATATTTTTTGTTCTTGACATGTTTCGTAGTCTTACTACATTATCAAAAGATTTAATTTACAATTAAAACTCTGGTAAATAAATTTAAAAACTGAAGACAATACAGAGAAAAAATTAATGGACAAATAAACTTGTTACAAACCAATTAAAAATTATATTACAAATTATGACAAAATGAACTTCCTAATATTAAAATATTAATAATAATAATAATAATAAGAATAATAAGAATAAGAATAGTAATAATATAGTAAGATTTTGGGTACTGCCTCTACCATTAACAAATTAAAAATAAAAGAAGCACTTCATATTAAATGGGAAAATCCTTCTTTAAATAAACAAACATCTCATTATATTATAAATTTATCTATCTAACTTACTATATTCTTCTTCTTCTTCTTCTTCTTCTTCTTCTTCTTCTTCTTCTTATTATTATTATTATTATTATTATTATTATTATTATTATTATTATTATTATTATTATTATTAATATTTTAATATTAGGAAGTTCATTTTGTCATAATTTGTAATATAATTTTTAATTGGTTTGTAACAAGTTTATTTGTCCATTAATTTTTTCTCTGTATTGTCTTCAGTTTTTAAATTTGTTTTGTTAAGACTACAAAACATGTCAAGAATAAAAAATATTGTGATTTTTATTAAAATTTATATATATATATATATATATATATATATATATATATATATATATATATATATATATATATATATATATATATATATATATATATGTATATGTATATGAGAGAGAGATTTGACTTGTTTTTTGGTTCTTTTTTTTGTTTGTTTGTTTTTTTGGAAAAAAACTGCAGGAGTCCGTTTTTTTGAATTTTTTGGAAATATTTAAAAATTCATTATTTAAGCTAAAATTAAATTTATTACTAAATTTAACTTGATTAATACAAAAATTTACTGAAGTTCTCTTTATTTTAATATGCTTCAAGGTTAACAGGGTGGGAGCAGTCCTGTATAAAAACTTCTTAGATAATTTTATCTTCCACAATTTTATCTTAATTGGTTTTAGTTTTACATCTTGACACTATAAACACTGTTTATTTACATTTATTATATTTAATTACATTTAATATTTGATAAATATATATATATATATATATATATATATATATATATATATATATATATATATATATATATATATTTGTATATATATATATATATATATATATATATATATATATATATATATATATATATATATATATATATTTATATGTATATATATATCAGGTTTTCCCAGGAAAGGCGTGCGCTCGCACGCCTTGTTTGTTCACGCATAGAATAAATTTTTCTGACTAACTGACCACGTTTTATTATTATGCATTTCAAGAATTCGCGCCAAAACAAAGTTAAGCGAAAATACCGCAAAAATGTAAAGTAAATAAAAGAAATCTGTTTGTGCTTTCAAATTTAAAAATTAATGTATATTATTAAAAAAAAAGTTTACCTATATTTTATTTATTTAATTTTTTTTGTTTTTTAGGGTGGTAGTTATTTTAGCTATGAAAAATCAAATCAATAAAAAAAATAAAATCTATAAGAAAAATCAAATCAAAAAGAAAAAGATTATTTTTTAATGAAAATAAAAGGACCTTTTAATGTAAAATTTGTTTATGACTTTTATCAGTCAGTAATACTTTAAAATTCAGGATAGAACTTTAATTAATTTTTAAATGTTTCGTAAATACATTTAAATGTTTAAATGTATTGATACGCAAGAAAGCGCGAAAACGATTGCTATTTATTTGTAAAATGTGTTTTTTTTTCAATTTTCAAATGAAAGAAAATTTAATTCGGTTGCTTATTTTGCAATCATTAATTGACATTGTGAACGAGTGTTAATATTTAATAATGTCCCAAAGGAACTGTTTTTGTAACAATGACAACAGAAGCAATGCAATTATTTTTTTAACTTCTTTCGTAATTACAAAATTATGCAATTGAATAATTTCAACATAATAAAAGGCGTGCTTTGACTCGGTATAATCAGTTTAGAATAAGTTGAGAGAGAACTTTTTTCACATTAAAATTTTGTTATCTTTAAAATCTCAAATAATATATTTAATAATTAAAACAGCAATTTATTTTCTTGTCTAAGTATTGGGGAATAACGTCATCGCCTTTGCATAAACCTTCGTAAAAACTAAATTAAATGAAAAAGTTTAATCAAATTTGTCTAGCGTAAATAATGAATCAGTTTTTTAGTATATTATCTGATAAAGTTAGTGAATAAATTACGTAAGTCTTTTTATTTTCGTGAAAAGTTTATGATTTATTGTCGCCTTTTCCTTGACTTGTATCTAATTTTGTAGCTGAAAATAGCAACCTTAAAAAAAGAAAACAAAAACAGAAAAAAAATTTTGAAAAAAATGTTCAGGACTTTTTTTTTTTTTTGTTACAAGATTTTTTTTTTTAATTTTTTTTTACTATTAAAATATTTTTCTTACATCCAATTTCAATTTTATACTTTGTTTAGACTTCGTTTCCTTTTTTTAATATTATATTTTATTCTCTGTGGATAAGTTCCGCTTTCCTACGAAATATTGCCGCGGTCACGTTTTCTGAAAAATTTATTCTATGCGTGGAGAAACAAGGCGTGCGACCGCACGCCTTTCCTGGGAAAGCCTGATATATATATATTCTTTATTCTGATTCTCTCCCATACAGGGCTGCAAGCAACCACTATTGAGTTGGGAATTACTAGGAAAAAAAAGAATAGAGTTATAGAGCAAAAAGAAAATCTAAATTTTGTTCTCTTAACGGAGAGATCTGTTAAAATCGTTGTCCTGTAGAACAAATTTCAGATTTATATGATATAATGTAAGAGTAATGAAGCGAGTGATCTAAGGTGATTGTCTTCATTGCATAAATCATAATTTAGATTGAAGATTTAAATAGTTTGATAATATTTAAAAACTTTTTCTTTTGTTTTCTTTTACTTATAAGTTTCAGAATGAACTTTTACTTATAAGTTTCAGAATGAACTCAAAATTTATGTAAATATGATGACACATAAAAAAAGTATAAATCCAAATTTTTAAAATATTAATTAAGGGAAGGATAAGGTTTGGTATTGTGGGAATGGAGACACCAGGGCTTATTTTATTTTGTATAATAATTTAAAATAGCTTAAATTTTTGAAAACATGAAAGGGTAAAAAAAACAAATAAGTTTTGTCTATGCATCTAATAAATCTGAGAATAAAAAAAAATCTTTTTAAAGAATGATGTTATTATCAAACTATACATTTCTTTGAAATTATAAATAGGGGTAAGGGGACTTAAGCAATCCCATTGTTTGATAAGCATCTAAGAGTAAACAGTAAATAAGCCATTTTAAACACTGTTTAGTGTTTTTATGGTTTAATGTTTATTTTTAAACAATAAACTATCAAACCTGTTGTTTATTATTTGCTTTTGCTTTCGGGTTTTTTTTTTTTTTTAATAGATAGCACAATTTTAATTGTCAAACACACATACATATGAACACTCTTATTTATTTTTAATTATTATTTATTTATTTTTTTAGTTATAAAAGTTGTATGTTTTATTACAGGTTTTTTATTTCCAAAGGATGGACCAGTTATTATTGAAATGGCAATAGTTTACAGTTTGCCGATGCTTATTACAATTTGGATTTTTATAGCTGCTGGTATTATCCTTTCACTGTTTTTTCTCTTTGCTAATATAAAACATAGAAGTGTTGGGTCAGTTTTTTCTATTTGTTTTTCTTTTTTAAATGAATAATTTAAAAACTTTTTTACAGATAAGTATTCAAGTGTTTAGGCGAATTAGCAAGTTAATAGCATTTCCAAACTAACATCATATGTAAAGTTATAGTAAAAAAAAAATTTATTTGATATTTAAATAGAAAGTTGTAATAATTTTAAATTTTTATTGCAATAAAAATTGTCAATCATGTATTTATATGATTATTTATATATTTATATTATATTTATGTAAATGTTTATAGGATTGTTTTACGTCTCAAAAGTATCAATTTTTATTATTAATTTATTTTTATTTTTTATTTTAATTTTAATTTTTTTTAATTTAAAATTTTTTAAGTAATATCCCATCCCTACATGCTTATGTCATTCCTTCACAGTTAAAAAAAAAGTAACAATTTAAAACAACTGAATAATTTATTCTTGTAGGATTCATCTTGGTAAATTATAATAAGTGCAAATAAATAATTCGTTTCACTTTGCAACAAATGTTGTTTTAAAGAATGGATTTTAAATAAGTGTTGGGTTATTTTTTTAGCTTAAATGTTACTTATTTTTTCTATGAATATGCAGTTTTTCCAGCTTGTAATAAAAGATGTTTCAACTTAAGAAGTCATTGTTACAGTACTGTTAAGATTTATTTTTGAATTAAAATGAATTTTAATCAGATTAATTAAAATTCATAAACATATTTTAATTCAATTCATGTATTCTCTTTAATAATAAATACTACATTATTTGCCATTCAAATTCAACATCCAAGCATTGCCATCTAAATACTGTAGCATTTATTATTATAGAAATCCTAAAAACTTTTGGTTTTAAGTGTTTAGACAATCTATCCCATCCTCTTGAAAAAAAAGAAATATATAAGTTATGTTATAACACTTATACTATTTTTATAAAATTTTTATACAATTTAGCTATTCATAGCTAATTTGTATTAAAAATAATACATAAAAAGGTGTAGGTTGTATGAATCAAGAAAACACGGGAGAGAAAATTCCAAAGTAATGAAGTGCAGGGACAAAAAGTTAACAAATAAAAGTTTTTAAAGCATGCAGGAACAGATACAGTAAAAGGGTGAGACTTTGCTGAACAAGCAATGAGTTTTGGTTAGTATTTGTAGAAAAAAGAAAGAGACGCAGCCTTACAACAGTGGTAGAGTTTGGTAAATAGAGCAGGTCTAACTACGTTTACAAATCCCTTTTTAGAAGTGACAGAGTATCATTAGAAGAACCAGTTCAAATCAGTATTCCATAGCAGCAAATAAGAGATTTGTGGATGTAATGAATGATATAAGTAAAATAACAGTGAGCACAATAAAGAGAAACAACCTTAGCAGACACTAACGTGACACTCAATTGTATGTATAGCTTCTATGTGAGACTCAGTAAAATGGTTGCCATTCATTAATATAGGAATGTGTACAGTATTGTGTACATGTGATAATTGTAATGTGTACATGTGATAATTGTTTGCAGTAAATAACTGAGTTTTGTTGGAGTTAAAATTCACAAGCCACTGCAAACAAATAAGAGAAGTGTGATGAAAAAGGGACATTTTTTGTAAAGATAATAGTATAATCTTGAGTCATCAGAGAATAAAACCACTTTAGATTTAAGGTTTTCGGGAAGATCATTAGTATAGATTACAAATAAAAGGACCAAGGATAGAATTTGAGGCACCCCAGAAATCACTGGAGACAAAGAGTGTTGGCCTTTGAGGATAAATTTGATAAAGCTGTTAGAAAAAAAAAATTTGATAATCTCAAAAACTTTCCCAGATACATCATATGAAGCAATCTTCATAATGATGTATCTGGAAATGTTTTGAACAAAAAAACCTATATGCCAAACTTTATCAAAAGCTTTAGATATGTCAAAAGCAACAGCTTTAGCTTTGCTGCCTTCATCTAATGCATAATAAAATAAATTAGATTCAGTAACAGCAGTTAGCAAGTCAGCCATAGAGCTAGAAGGCTAGCATATGTGCAAACTGGCATATGTGCACCGAAAGAATTTGCAAACATTGGCATATGTGCCAATTAGCACAAATGCAAAGCAGTTGCAAAATCTAGCATAAATGCAAACTGGCATTAATACAAAGCTTAAATTGGCAAATGTATGAACTAACATAAGCATCAAAGATTTTTACAGAAACTAGCGCTAAAGACGTGAAGGCTACTTAACCGCAGTTAAGTAGCCTTCACGTCTGTAGTGGTCTTCTCGACCTTGGGGAGGTGAATTTAAAAGAAAAAAAAGCCAGTTTGTACTTATGCCGTTTTTGCTACTGATTCACATTTATGATAGTTTACACTTATGCCAATACGTTCTTATGCCAATGTTTGCAAATTCTTTTTGCGCACTTATGCTGATTCCCATCTATTCCAGTTTTTGCAACTGCTTCCCTTTAATGCCAGTTTGCATTTATGAAATTTGCACTTGTTTTGCTTCCTGGCAAAAAGATAGAAAAGAGTATTGGCTGTCTGACAGTTAGTTATTTGACTCAGTATGGGATGTTAGAAGTTTGTTCAAAGACTAAAAAACCTTGCTAAAATCAGAAAGATGGCTGATTGGATGATAGTTGAATGGGTCAAAATGGTCTCCAGAGCTATTAAAAGTTGGAACTACATATGTCATTTTATATTAAACATAAAAACAAGATTTAGTTTTTTTTTTTTTTTTTGTTATTCACCTCCTCAAGGCCGAGAAGGCCACTACAGACGTGGAGGCTACTTAATAGTGGTTATAACCCTCTCTCAACTCTATAACTCCGAAACACGAACCTTGACGAACAAGGCCGCTGCGCAGAGAAACAAGTTGATTTAGTTAAACACTTATTAATTAGTTTAGAGAATTAAAGAGAGTTCTGGAAAACACTTCTCTCGAGAAAACAATGACAGGAATGTTGTTGAGACCACAAACAGTAAAAAGTTTATTTGAGATATGACTTTGGCAATAAAAGCTGGAGTGATTTGAATGTCTAACAATGGATTAACTTGAATAGAAGGAATAGTATGGCCATAAGATTCAAGAGTCGAATTATAAAAAAGTTCTTTACAAATAGTTCAGCCTTACTTGGGAGAAGTAATAAGATTAGTCCCATAAATGAGAGACGGAATGTTAGAACTACCTTTGTTAATGAGGCTGTTGAAGACTTTCCAAAAGAATTGTGAGCCTAACTTTTGAGATAAGTTACAAGATTAAGTAATTGAGAGTAATAGAGCTTAGCATCAGACAGCATCTTTTTACATTGATTTCTTGCAATATTAAATTGGTGCTTGTTCTCAAGAGAGTTGTTCTTTTGAAAAAGATGAAAAAAAGAATTACAAATAAATATAGTAGCTGCACAAACCTATGAAACCATGGGTTGATTTAAAACCACCGAGAAAGAATAAAAACTTCTATTCCTCCCTGATTCAGGAGGTTAGGAAGGAGGCGCATTTATCAGCTAAAAGAGAAAAGACATCAGCTCAAGGACCGTCACAAAGAAAATTACAAAAAAAGTCCAAGTCAGCTTTAAGGTAGTAATAAGTCAGCTTTAAGGTAGTAATAAGTAGTGCAATGACAATATGAGAGACCATTGCATGGTCAGAACCACCTAAAGGAGAACAAGGATATAATAAACACAAGCTATGGTCAGAGACAAGACACAAACCAAGGAGTGAAGATAAGTGATTAGAGTTGTCTAGAAAATGAGTCACAAATTTAACTATCTGAGTAAGAGATTTAAAGATACAGGAGTTGATGGTTTTAGTTCAAGCAAAGTCAGTGGTATTAGTACTAAGGCATTCAGGTGAGCATTAAAGTGAATAATAACAACAATATTGGCTAAAGGGTAAAGAGTAAGGGCATGGTCAATTTGATCAGAAATTACATCTAAAACAGTGCAGTTTTAAGAAGAAGAAGAAAGATAAAGAACGAAAAGAAAGGTGATAGAGTGAAGAGCTGCTAAGCAGAAGCACATAAAAGAATGATCAAAAGATTCACATAAAAGCACATAAAAGAATGATCAAAAGATTTTAAAAGACCAATATTTATTGAGAAAAAAATTATTCATAATATGATGTTTGAAGAGTTTGGTTTGAGAGTTGATGAACCAAGAGCTGATGGATCCAAAACTAGTAATACAGAAAATTTATGTCGACGAGCTTTTTCTGACCCTCTATTACTCAGCAAAATTTTAGAAATTGATGAAGAAATTATTATCAGATTACATAACATTCTAATTGCAATTAATTGCAAAGACTCAATTGATCCGGAAAAATTGATAAATACTGCAATGTTAGAGACATGATTAGTTCAAGGTCCCAGCTTCCATTCACACAAAGTATTAGCACATGCTGGGGAAATTATTAATAATTTCCAGAGGAAGCAGTTGAATCACCAGAGGAAGCAGTTGAATCTCGACACAGAATTTATAAGTTTGATCATGAGCGTCATTCAAGGAAAAAAAGTAAATAAACGAACTTATTTGACATTTTCATTCAAGGTATACATACTTCTGATCAATCTCATTAACTAAAAGATTGAAGAGTAAGATAATATTGTGCCTACCAAAAAATAAGAAAATATTGTGCCTACCGGAAAAAGTTAAAAGTTTGTTAGCAGTTTAAAGCGATGATAGAGAAAATTCATCATGATATGGCATCAAATGAAATTAATGACTTAGATTAATTATATTTAAATGTTGACAATGTTGACAATTAGATATAGATGATTGTAGAATTAGATATAGATGTTGTAGAATAAATTCTAAACTGTATAATCTGTATAATGTAAATTAGCATCTGCTAAGGTTGCATCTCTTTATCGAGCTCGACACTTTCTTACTCCAGACTCTATTCTCTATCTCTATAAATCTCAAATCCGTCCCTGTATGGAATACTGTTGCCACATCTGGGGCGGATCTTCTAATGATGCTCTTTCTCTTTTAGACAAGGTGCAAAAACGAATTGTAAACATAGTTGGACCTGCTCTGGCAGCCAATCTCCAACCTTTGTCACATTGTCGTAATGTTGCTTCTCTTTCTCTTTTCTACAAATACTATAATGGGCACTGCTCTAAAGAGCTAGCGTCCCTTGTGCCATCTACTAAAATTCATTCTCGTGTTACTCGCCATTCAATTAAGTCTCATCCTTTTTCTGTGACTGTTCCTAAGTGCTTCAAAAACTCTTATTCTTCTAGTTTTTTTCCTCGAACATCAGTTCTTTGGAATTCGCTTCCTTCATCTTGCTTTCCTGATTCATATAATTTGCAATCTTTTAAGTCATCAGTCAATTGTTATCTTGCTCTACAGATTTAGTCTTTTCTCTTCCAGTAACTTCCAACTCTTATAGTGGTTGCTTGCAGCCTTGTTGGAAGTGAAGATAATAAAAAAAAAAAAAAAAAAAAAATGTATAATTTTATATTTGTTTGCCTACTATGCAAATTTGTTAAATACATAAAAAAATTAATAAAATATTTAAAAAAATTGCAGTGATTTGGTTTAAATCATTTAAATTTAGTGTAAGATAGCAGCAAAAATCTGTTTTTGGACTAATTGCCCTCTTATTTATTTATTTATTTATTTTTTGCAGGGAAGGGGGGCTAACTTTTTGGGATATTTTTGATCCAGGGCTTCAATCTCCACAAATTTTTTACAAAACAATTTATTTTGACTTGAGCATGAACATAACAAGTTTAGAGCATTGAAAATTATCCATTATTTAAACAATGTCTGAAAGTATCACATAAAAAATCCAACTAGTGCCCCCAGCGCTCAAGTGGATTCCCCCCCCCCCACCCCTCTGCTGCGCTTATGAGCTGATTAAACACAAAAATAAAAAATATTATTTTAAATCTCTACTTTACTCAATTATGGCTTAATATCCACATAAATACAATGATTATATTTTTGGCCACCTATTTCAATGGAATGTTCTCACTGTGTATTGGCATTGCGTATAAAAAGTTTAAATAGCCACAAGTTAGTTTCCAGTTAACCAATAGAATTGATGCAACTAAAAAAAATGATTTAAGGATTATCCAAGTGTGATGAAAAGTCTTTAACAGTAATCTAAAAAAAATGATATTTTTAAATTTATGAATAGTGGTTCGCTTGTTGTTTGTGTGTGTATGCGTTTGATAAAAGAAATTAAAAAAATTGATATAGAAACAAATCTTTTTGTTCCAAAACTTTCTAACCATAAAACTTTCAACTGTATTCAACAAAACTTTTTCGCTAGCAAAACATATAAAAAAACCTTCTAGATGTTACATTTGAAATTATAATAGAAAAATTAAAGGTTGTCTAATTTAAATATGATTCAAAGCCATGAATGAATCATTGAGATTTAATTGATTTTGTCTTCAAGTGTCAAAAATGAAGTAATGACATGATCTCTGTCAATAAAGTTATAAAATAATAACATCCATAAATCAAACTTTTTTCTTAAATTTAGACTTATCAAACTTTCATCACCAAATATCAACAGTGTCATAAGTTTAGGCTGTATTTTAAGTTATTTGTCAATTGTTCTATATGGGATGGACTCAAGGATTATTAAAGTTGAATGGATTCCTTATGCATGTGATGTATGCTTTCTATAAATATAAAATTTTTTCTATATGTAACATTGTTTTCTTTGTTTATTGTTGTTAGTTCTACAGATTAGAAATAAATATATTTTTATATTTATATATTTTATATTTATAAATATATATTTAAATGTATATTTTTTAAATTTTAACTTAGTGAAAAATTAATCTTTTCTTTTTTGGCATTTTTTTTCACCTTTCGAAAATGATTTATAAACAGCAAAACTATATTTAATCAGCAAAATTTTCACTAAGTATTGTATTATTACCTTGTTTTGTCTCCTAAGACTTTATTTTTCAATGACTAGGTGAATGTTGGCTGCATGATAAAGCTATAATTTTAAGGAATGAAAAAAATAAAAAATAAAAAAAATTAATTATTTGATCTGTGATTTGTAATATTTTTATTTGATCTGTGATTTTTAACAATTTTATTTGATCTGTGATTTGTAACAATTTTATTTGATCTGTGATTTGTAACAATTTTATTTGGTTTGTGATTTGTAACAATTTTATTTGATCTGTGATTTGTAACAATTTTATTTGATCTGTGATTTGTAACATTTTTATTTGATCTGTGATTTGTAACAATTTTATTTTCTCTTTTAGTTTGTTTTAAATGAAAATATTGAAATCATTATTAAAGTGAGCTAGTCTAAAAAACTTTTGTCTAAACCGTGCTATAAAACATGGTTTTTATTTTTTTCAATTTGCTTTTAGGCTATAATTGTTACTTTGTCAACAGGGTTCACTCTTTCATTTGGAGGTTTATTTAGTAAAACATGGCGCATTTACAAAATATTCATCAAGCCAAGATCTTTAAGTTCAAGAGTATGTTAAAATAATATAAGTATATGTTTTAAATAATATTATGGCAAAATTAAATGTAGTTGAACTGAATATAATCTGATTTCTTATAAAAATATATTGAACTAATTATTTTTGATAAATATTTATTAGGGTGGCTTTTATAAATAAAAATTTTAAATCATCTCCTGGTACCTTTCCAGTCTGTGATTATGAAAAAAATATTTATGCAAAAAATCATTGCAATCGGACAATATTATGGGGTGGCCCTCAGAGCTTGAAATTTCGGGGAAATTGTCTAATTCTTCAAATGGCGACATTTGGTCTGTTTATGTTTAAGATTTATTATATCTATGTATATGTGATTTATTATAAATTATGTTTAAGATTTATAGTTGACATCTTCCAATAAAAGAAATGTTTACAAAGTATTTTCATTTTAGTAATTTTAGAGTATTAAAAATTTTTTGTGAAGGTATGCTCAATGCATTGAATTCATTTTTTCTTTGAATTTCTAAAATTATTATACATTAAGTAATTATAAATTTCTCAATGAATTTATTAGCTCTGTAGTATGTAATATGTACTAATACTTTGAGCTTTGTAGTTGTAAGCACTAAGCAAGCAGTAAGCGTATTTTATTTTTTCATGATATATAATGGAATCTAGAGGTAAACAAAATGTGTACCTGATTGGCTCCTATGGATCTGAAATTTTTGGAGCAAAGTTGGCATCAAATTGCCAAGCCTTTAGCACTTTGTGCATGACCACAAAGTAGAAAAACTATTTGCGACTCAAATTGAAAAGTTACCGAAGTTGTTCCACATTTTGAAGCAAGGATGGAATACCATTTCCAGCAGCCTAACATTGTATAGACAAATTGAAGACAATATTTATCAAAGGTCTTCTGAAGCATAAAATATGAAAGGCAAAAGGACATAAGATGAAAGAGGATGAATTTATTGACTGTCGGGATCTTTTTGATATTGTACATTCAAATGTACTCACTATGATTTCAATTGCTGAAGATAGAGCATTCTTTCTCTCTCAGAGATAAAAAGGTTGACCAAGTTCAATTAGTGCCTCTGATAAAGTAAAAACACATAGAAGAAAATTTGCTCAGGAAAGAAAGGAGAGCATCACAAGTTATCACAAGAAGAACTGGAAAAATGTTTAAACAAAGTTCTATAATTTGATTCATTAGCTTCATCCAGTGCATCAGAAGATATCAATAATAATGAAAAATTAGACAATAGTAGATGTGGCTAATTAATAACACCTAAAAGAGCTATAACCAACAAAATGTCTCCTGGATTAGATAGAACTAAGACCTCATCCTAAAACGCAGTATATGTTCTCTGTGAAGTGGTATCTAGTCTTGGGCACAATGTGAAGACATTAAACATTAATCGGAATTCAATACAAAGCAAGTCATCAAACAACAAAATCCAAAAACCTCAGTTCAGAATTTTCAACAAGTGTGCCTTTAACGGTTCACTGGGACTGCAAACTTATGGATGATTTGGCATCTCATGAGCATGTAAATTGTCTTTTAGTTTTGATTTTGGGTCTTGGCGTTGAGCAATTATTGGGCGTTCATCCAGAACAGGCAAAGCACAAACATCTACAGTTATTGAATGTTTGGGTATTGGAGATTAGGTCGCAGCATTGTTTTTGACACAGCAGCATCAAAACTGGTCATCGTGCCAGTGCATGCTTATTAATTGAGCAGAGACTCAATAAGAACTTTATGTTTTTAGCCTGTCGTCACCACCTGATAGAACTAATAGTTAGGGCTGCATTTGAAAAGACTATAAATAGCACTTCTATTGGACCAGAAGTATTTATTTTTAAATGGTTCAAAAACAAATGGGATGTATCGATAGTAGTTGGTTTTTGATTTTTTCTGAAGTGGGTTGGTTTAGATATATGTTGTGTGAGGAAACAATTGCGGATTGAATTTATGAATTTTAAAGATTTTGATGAGTGAGATATCGGGTTTCCTTTTTTGTTAGACCAAGTTATATCTGGGTAGTTAAAGTCTCCAACAATAAGGATGTTTTCGTATTTTTCAGAAAGATTAGTTATGTGTTGATTTATATAGTTATCATTTTCGTCATTGCTATTTGGAGATCTGTAGAATGTTGTTATTAGTAGCTTAGAATTTTTTGTTTGAATTTCACAACTAATTGATTCTGATGCAATGGTATCAAAGGTAACCAATGACGATTTTAACGATATATGTACAAATATTGCTACACCTCTTTGACATGATTTATTATTGTGATTTGATAGTGTTATGTAGTTTTCTATAGTAATTTCTTGATCACTGCACATTGATCGGCAATTTTTAGGCAAAGTTTCAGTAAGACAAATGAGATGTGGTTTAAGTTTTTGAACAATGAAATTTAGTTCTTGGCGTTTGTTTAAAATCGAATCAATGTTGGTATAAATTAATTTTAGTGATTTGATTTGTGTGAGCTTGTTATTTTTATCAGATTTGAAGGATAACCATTTATTTATTTGTTTAATATTATTTAATGTGTTTGCTAAAGTTGAGTTTAACAATTTTGTTGCGCCTGATGCACCATCGAAAGGGCGAGTTTGGTTCATTTTCTAAAAGCTGGTGGTTTTTATTCTTTTTTTCTTTTCTTAATTCAAAATCTATTAGCCTTTCTGCTGGTGTCATATCCGGGTCTAAATAAACATTTTTATAGTTGTCGTTATTTCTTAATTCCCTAGACGCGAATAGAACTTTATTGCGTTCACAGTTTTCATGAAGTACAGCAATAATTGGAGATGGATTTTTTGAAACTTTTTTTTTTTTTAGCCTAATTAATTTAATCGGTTTTTCATTGCTTTTGCCAATGTAATCAAATATTTCATTGACCATTAATTTATCATCATTTATTGTATCTGATTCATCTGTTTTACTCGATTCGGGAATTCCAAAGATTATAATATTGTTTTCTCGCTTTTTTTTATTTTCCTGTTCTGATATTATTGAATTTGCGATGGTGTTTACAACGAGTGATTTTTCCGTGGATGTAGTTTTCGTTGAAAATTTCGACCAAAAATTAGCAGATTCGTTTACTGTTGGTTGTTTAGATTCAAGGAATTCTATTCTTTTTACTAAATTTTTTATGGTTTCTTGCTGTTCTGTTTAAATTATTATTTGTTAAGCCCATAATAAAACATAAACATCGCAATCAAAACTTTTGTTGATCTTAATCTAAACTGTAATATAATTTAAGTTTACTTATTTCTAATTTTGATTGAGCAAGGATTGATGCAATTTGAGTTATTTTAATTAATTCTACAAAGTGCTCTCGTCTGTTATTATGAAGTCATAGTGAATCAAAAATGCAGATATAATTATTGTTTAATGAAACCACACTAATATCCTAATAATGTGCAATAATAATACTCCCAATAATGTGCAATATAATTCTGAACAGCTAAGTTTTCCTTGTTTCAACATATCGTTTTATACGATAAAACTTTTGTTAATGTTATAACTTTTGTTAATTATATAAGATTTTTGCTGCATCACAAGGCTGTTTAAGTAAAATATTCACAAATTAATCTAAAGGCGCCAAGCAATACTTGATGGAAATATTGCTTTAAAAGTATAAAAGCCATGAAATACCAGATAAAAGAAATTAGTCTTGCACTAGATAAATATAAAAATAACCATCCAGATTTTAAAACTTATGCTGCATTTTTAATAAAACAAATAATATCTTATGAATTTTTTGTGCTCATAAGAATTTGGTATCACTTGTTATCAAAGCTTCCCATTTTCAGCCAATTGCTTCAGTAAAAAAAATATGGCAATTAATATTGCATTACAACAAACAAATACTATGCTATTAATTCTTGATGAATTCATAAACAATTTTGAACAGATTATAAAAGAACCTCAGAAGCATCAGTAGATATCAATCTTATAGCACAGTTTACTGAACGGTCTTCTTGTGATACTCAAATATTAATTAGAAAAAAAGATTGTCTTCATAAATCACCAGAACCCAGTTTAGTCCAAACAGAGAGTAATCAAGAATAATCTCATGAGATTAGCAGACTTTTGTTATTATACAGACCATAAAAATAAAGCAAATGAGAAATATTACGATATTGATATACCAAATGAAGAAATTGAACCAGAAGATGATTGGTCCAGAACCAGAAGATGATTGAATGCTGTGTTCAGAAGATGATGATTGAATGAATGATGAAAGAAGATGAAGATGATGATTGAATGATGATGATGAATGATGATGAACAGAAGATGATGATTGAATGATGATGAAAGAAGATGAAGATTGAATGTTCTCTCTTCCTCTAACACTAATTTTAATGGAGTCAATTGAAAAAAGTCAACTTCCAAATCAATTTAATTCAGCAAATATAACTGCAGGGCATTTCCAAAAAATCACGCACGGAACATTGCATCTGTTGCATTAATTATTTTGAAAATAATGCAATTTGTAACCACTGACTTAAAATAAAAATTTAATAAATGAATCTTATTTTCTTTGAAAATGTATTAGTGACGAGTGTTTTGTTTTTTTATAGGTAATTATACAGGCATTTTTAAAGATTTTTACAAAGTTACAGCATTCTACAATGTATCTTTGCTCTGTTATAGTAGTTTCAACCAAAATCACGCACAGACAAAAAAAGAGTAACGAACAGAACATGCAAACATTCGTCATTTTTGGATTGTATTTTTAAAAATAAATCGATTGCGACTATCACAAATAGCGTATATATCAATTCTAATTAATTTAATGCACGTTGGATTAAAAATAAATACTTAAGTGTATTATATTAAAGATAAATAATGTATTATATACTTAATAATATATTAAAGATAAGAAAGATGCAATATTTCTTATCTTATAATATATTATTAAGTATATAATATTAAATTATATATTAAGTATATAATTTAATATTATATACTTAATAATATATTATAAGAAAGATGCAAATTTTTAACAATATGTTTAGTGGTAACA